AATGGTAGAGTTCAAAAATGAAGTTATACTGATTGCCAAACTTCAACACCGTAATCTTGTTAAGCTTCTTGGTTGCTGCATTCAAGGAGATGAAAGGATGTTGATCTATGAATACATGCCCAACAAGAGTTTGGACTACTTTATCTTCGGTTTGATTCTCAAACCTTCTACAAAAATAATCTTTCATTTTTTATAGGAAGTAGACTAAAATGTGTAAATTTACCAGATCAAACGAAAAAGACATTAATAGATTGGCAGAGGCGGATGCACATTATTGTTGGAATTGCTCGAGGACTTCTTTATCTTCATCAAGATTCTAGATTGAGAATTATTCACAGGGACCTCAAGGCTGGTAATGTCTTGCTAGACAGAGATATGAACCCAAAAATTTCAGACTTTGGGTTGGCTAGAATGTTTCGGGGAGATCAAATTGAAGCAGACACAAATAGAGTTGTTGGAACTTAGTAAGTAGTACTGAATATAATGCAGAATATAGGTATTTGTATCTAAAACCGCATATTTTTCACTTTGCTTGTAATGACATTTTTGCAGTGGTTATATGTCTCCTGAGTATGTAGTAGATGGACACTTCTCAATAAAATCCGATGTTTTTAGCTTAGGTGTCATAGTGCTCGAGATCATAAGTGGAAAGAAGAATAGAGGATTTCACCACCCGGATCACAACCATAATCTTCTTGGACATGTAAGCATAAAGAAACAACAAATTACTTTCTTGAACAATGTCATGCATATTTGTTTCTTTTTGGCCTTCAATGATATACATATATTTGACTTTTAATATTTTTAGACATGGAGATTATGGATGGAAGAAAGAGCATTGGAAGTAATGGACACCATGTTAGGTGACTCTTACACTGTTTCTGAGGTTCTACGCTGCATTCATGTGGCTCTGCTATGTGTCCAGAAACGACCAGAGGACAGGCCAGATATGTCATCTGTGGTTTTAATGTTGGGCAGTGAGAATCCATTGCCTCAACCAAAACTTCCTGGTTTTTACACCGAAAGGAATCTACCAGAAGAAGACGCTTCATCAAGCCAGCATGAACGTGTTTCAAATGAAGTAACAATTTCAACGTTGCAGGGACGGTAAAGCATCATCACTTGAAATAAAAATGTTAAAAATAAAAGTGAAAGGCTGGTATATGTAATGTAATAGTAAACATCCTGGATATCAATTTCTTGGCATTAATGAGCTAAGAAAATTGTGTAGCATGTTATATGATGTCTCCAGCTTCTCTTCAAATTACGAGGTTGACTACTTCAGTTAAACGGATTGAGGTTACTAAGTCTCCTTTTTTCTTGGCAGAATGCATAGTTTCAAACTTAGTGGGTCACAGTTGAAAATTCTACATTCTTTTTTTCTTCTTCTTTATGAGGATACATTTTTTTCTTCTTCTTCTTTATGAGGATTGTGAAAGGAATCAGTGAGGAATTACAGTTCCAGTCTACAATGGCGACTTTGTGGACAAGTCTTTCACCACAAAAAAAAAAAAAAAAAAAAAAAAGAGAAACTTTGTGGACAAGTCATGAAGAAAAAAGGCAAAAAGGCAAAAAAGAGACTGATCCCTCTAGTTTTGACACTAGTAGAAATGACAATTTCCATTGAAACTTCATGACAGGTGGACTTGACAAGCCATTCAGGACATGCCAGGTAGTTATTGTTGGATTTTTGGGCTAAAAAGAACAGGTTTGAGAGAGGACTTGAAGGAGAAGGAGAAATACACCCGGAGTTCCCTCTTTTGGTGAGGTCAGAACCCATTTTTCTTCCATAAACAACACAACATAACATGGAACATTAAGCCATAAACATGGAAGGGTGCAGACATTCACCCAACTGGAGAGGAGAAACCATGTTTCTCTTTCTCTCTCAATTTTCATTCAATTGTTGGAATTATTGCTAGAAACGTGGCATTCAAATCTGCAGAAATAATGAATTGAAACTGCCATGAAATGGCAGCAATGAGGCTGAAAATTGACAGCAAATGAAGCTGCAATTTTTAGCAAATATAGCAGCAATTTAGCTGTAAATATGAGGGAAATGAAGCTGTCAAATGACAGCAAAAATGTGCAGCAAGCTAAGCTGCAAATGTTGATGAAATAAGACTGCCATGAACAGCAAATTAAATACAAATGCAAATGAAAGGCTACAAAGAGGCTGCAGAGCTGCCAAGAGGCTACAAAGGACGCAAGCATGCAGTAGCAAAAGTGGCTGTTACTCATTTCAAAATTCAAATGTATATTTATTGTTTTTTAATGTAAAATAGTTGATTGAATTTTGAATTGTTTAAAGATTGTCTTCTCCTATAAATAGGAGAGTTTGTTAATGAAAAAATTGAGTTGAAGTGATATACTTCTCTCCATTTCAGCTTATGCTCTGTTTTTCATGTTCGCCTCGGTTCTCTCCATTTCTTTGTTTGAAAAAAGAACAACATCAATTTCTTCCTTGCCTTTTATAGAGGAAGGCTACACATAAAACAATTATATTTTTCTACCTAAACTATAATTATTAACAACCTAAAACATTGACTAAAATGATGAAGTCTACTCCCATTTCTTATAGCCCATGTGAAGCTCCATGCCGCTGTCATTTGCTGCTAGTGTGCAGTCTTGTTGCAGCATCATTTAGCAGTTCTCCTTTCACTGCATTTTCTGCTTTCATGCCATAGCTCCAACAGTTATGTTCCCTGTTTGAAGGACTACGCCTGCTATTTTCTGCTTTAATACATTTGCATGGCTATATTATACGTACCCTATACGTTAAATTTGATGTTTTTGGCTTCCGGTCTTGGTACATGGAAGACGAAACAAACAGGGATTTTGACCATAACCTTCTACGATGACTAAGTTTCAAGGATGACACCATTTTTTTCTCCCTTGTGGAACCAATATGTCGAGAATGGGTGTCTAGCTATTCCATCTTTCCAGTCATGGAGATTGCAGATCTCTTGGGCAATAATGACCTAAGAAACGTTTTTTGGGGTGAAATTCTCAATCAGGTCAATGGGCATTGGGCATGTCTTCTTTGTGCAGATACTCTGTCATGGGCCTTCCCGGCTTTCCCCCGCTGGACTCATCTCCGCATCAAGTGAGGCCATCTTGTTTCCTCCATTGATCTCTTCACCAAGGACGTAGGCTCTCTTCTTTTTGGGAAAGGTCTCGAAAGCCCATTGTCGGAATGGCCTGGGGCATGGTCTCTTTTGGAAAAATCTGCTTGCCTTGAAATTGGGGTTTGATTTGGCTCCCAAGTTTGCGCACCATTTAGATCAGAGTTTCTTTTGTCCACCAACATGCTGATTTTTGTGAACGAGTCAAACTTAGAGAACAAAGATAAATTTGGATATTACCGATTCCGCAGCCAAGTTGCCAGCCGCTTCCATGTCTCCGTCACGGCTGACTCAGTGGCACTGGAACATTTTTTTTGAACGAGAGGAAAAGATGGGGACGGGAACATATTGCCGATTCCGTTATGGAAGTGAATATTCGGGTCTCTTCCCCGCTCAATGTTTTATATTTCAGATATCATATAAATTTTGTTTAAATCTAAATATGATGGAATTAAATTTAATCTGAACCTTCAATTTAAGTTATCCATTATGAATTGATGTAATGGTTTAAGGTATAAATTTAGAATTCAATATAATTCAGATTAAAATTATTTGGATCCGATTAAGTTGGATTAGATTAAAATTAAATTGAGTTAACCTAAGGTAATTTGATTAAAATTAATTAAATTTTTAAAATTTAAAATTTTAATTATTTATACTTTTAATTTTTTTTAAATATAAAATTAAATTAAATTTATAAAATAATAATTATTTATTAGATTATTAGAATTAATATTAATTTAATAGATTTTTACTAAATAATTAATTAACATTAAATTTTTTATAAAAAAAATTAAAGAAAATATTAAAAGATTTCAATTTTAATTTTTTTTTTTTAAATTGGATTCACTCAACTCATGTTGCATTTAAAATTACTGTAAAGCACTGTGACAATAATTGTAATTGTGGTTATGATTATATTAAATTGTATTATATTATAACTATGGTTAAATATATATATATATATATATGAATAGGCGCCTGTTTTATTGAAAAATATAATACCAGGGAATATTACAGAATCACATTGACAGCTTGTCCCTAGTTGCAAAAGGCGCAAGGTAATCTGGTATCTCATCTCTAAGAAACTCATCTCCCTCACCCTGTAGTTCTCTCTTAGCTAACTCATGAGCCACAGCATTACCAGTCTGTCGAACGTGTTTGACTTGGCAGTGCAGGAAGGAGGACATCAACAGCTTACAATCTAATAAAATATTGCCCAGGTCTGAATTTAAGGCAACATTATTCGAAAGTGCAGTTACAATAGTTGCACAATCCGTCTCGATAATGATTCTCCCAAGATTTAACTCTTAAGCCCACTACATTGCACGTCGGACACTACATGCTTCTACGATTTTTGCAGCTGCAACTACCCGCCCTTGATAGGCCATGGTTGCCAGAACTTCTCCACAATGATCTCGAGCCATTGCACCCACACCAAACACCCTATGTTGTTCTGCTATTGCGCCATCAACATTGATCTTAACTGTCCGTTCATCAGGAGGCTTCCACTTCGTTTCACTATGCATTTGGACAGCTCTAGATCCCCGCTCCATTGATTTCTGTGCTCTCTGATAATCCATCAAGTAATTCATGCCTCCTTCAATAATCTGTTGAGGGTGTGCCCTTCTACCATTCCAATGAGCATCATTTCGAGAGCCCCAAATCCTCCAGCTTAAAGTACACAGAAGCTCCAACTGCGCCTTCCCCAGTTCAGTACACATAGCATCAAAGAAATCTGCAAAAGAGCTAGAGGGGAGCTCAGAAACTCGAAGACTCAGGGGGCTTCCACGCCACACCGCCCAAGCGACAGGGCAAAACAAAACACAGTGTGCCACAGATTCCATATCAGAGCCACACACAGGGCATTCCAAATCCACTAGTACATGCTTCCTCTGCAGATTATCCATGGTAGGAAACACATTACGATAGGCACTCCAGATAAAAAAATTTTATCTTACCCGAAACACTCAGGTTCCAAACTTTGTTGCCACCAAAAGATGCATTTGTGCTACCTGGAACACCCATGTGCTTCTGCATGTTCATCGCACAATGGTATCCAGAATGTTCAGAGTAGTTACCACGCCGTGCGAGACTCCACGTCCACCTATCATCATGTTGCACCCAACTAATTGGAAGAGATAAGATCAGATGAGCTTCATAAGGAGTGAAAGTATTCAGGATTAAGTCTCGATTCCATGCGTCAGAGCTGCCATCGGTTAAGTCAACTGTGGCTCATTGTTATTTTCATATTTAATTGTTTATTTTTTAAAAATATTATAGATATGATATGGTAAATTTTTTTAATTATTAATTAAATTTAAAAAATATTATATAATATATAATTATTAAAATAGAAAACATTTACAACTTAATAATTTAGATTTTTTAAGTTTTTTATGATGGATTTTCTTTTAAATTTCATGAGATAGCAACTCATAAAGAATTAATGAATTTTTAATTTTTTACTAAAATTTTCAAATAAATGAGAGGTTAAGTTTAAATAAAATATTATAAATTTTGATTTAATTAAATTAAATGAAGTTAGGTTTTAATAAGTGATTTTATAATTGTATTAAATATTAGGCATTATCAGTAAAAATCATAGTAAAAAAGCTAAAGAATAAAACTTCTAATTTTGTATATAAAATTACTATAAATTTAATGTAACTTTTTACAATTTTTAAAAATATAATTTTAAAAAATTATCAAATACACATATATAAAAGAATAATGTACCATTAAAAAGGGCTTAATTCAATTTTTAGTCTATTAACTATAAGCTTACTTTCATTTTAGTCTAGAAAATTTATTTTATTTCTAAATAGTCTATAAACTTTGAAAATATTTTAAAATAGTCTACTAGTACAAAATTTTATTAAATTTAGGGTTAAATTCCCATTTTGGTCCTTAAACTATTGTACGGACCCTCGATTTGGTCCTTGAACTAAAGAAATTCTTGATTTGGTCCCTAAACTATTGTACGGACCCCTGATTTGGTCCCCACTATTTATAATTTAGCCTAAGTTGGTCCTTGAACTATTGTACGAACCCCAATTTGGTCATTACTATTTACAATTTTGCCCCAATTTGGTCCCTGAGCTATTATTTAACAGAATGACCAAGTTGGGGTTAAATTGGTAAACAGTAAGGACCAAATTGGGGATCCGTATAATAGTTTAGGGACTAACTTGGGGGTCCATACAATAGTTTAGGGACGAACTCAGGGATACATACAATAGTTCAAGGACCAAAATAAGGGTTTAACCTAAATTTAACGGAAATAGTAGTCCTTTAAGTTTTAAAAAAGTGACACTATAATCTTGATAAAATATGATAACTCAAAAAATATTTTATAGTGATAGATTAATTAAAATTTGTAATAAATTTGATCAACTAGTTTGTTTTACAAGATAAATTATAAGCAGTTGTCTTAAAAAATTATTTAAATGTTCAAAAAAATAATATGAAAATAAAATTAAAGACATTTAAATAATTTTATAAAATAAACTGCATACAGTCCGCTCTGCAAAACAATTTTTAGAATAACACATTTAGTAGGATAAGATTAAAAACTATTTTTACAGTGAATATAAATTTAAAGACTAAAAGATCAAAAGAAATATAGTTAGAGGACTAAATATTTTCTTATTCTAGAATAAGAAGATTCCGTTAAAAATAACGAATATTTCCGTTAAAGATAACGGACTAGATGAAATTGAAATAAATGTAAAAAATAATAAATAAGATTGAAAAAATTTAAAGATAATAGATAAAACTGAAAATAATATAAAAGTTAATAGATGATTTGTTAAATTAACCCAATTGAAAAGAAAAAAGCTACAACTACAATCTTAAACGTACCATATCCAAGACATCATGAGTCTAACCTAATATCACTCAATCCTACCTCACCAAATCAAACTTCTTTACCAGGTCCACTTAAATCTTATTAGAATTATAACTCGTGGGTTTTACTTTTACAATATATAGGTGAGGTTATTATCACACTTTAAATAATTAATACTCACATTTTTAATGTAATTATCTAGGACAGTGATCCATTCACCCACTAAGTCGCACCCTGCTTCACACACATGGTCGGTTTATAAAATTAAATCAAATAGGTTTATTCACAACTTATTCCTCACTTGTCTAGCATAAATCACCCACCCTAAACACTTCACCTAGATTACCAGATCCATCGTCTTCCTCACCTCCATCCTCATCCTAATCATCTGCAACCTCATTTTCCTCTTCTTCACCATCATCAGTTTCATCGACATAAAGCATGAAGATGAGCAAGTGGGAACCTACAAAGGAACGCAGACCTGGGTTCTCCCCTTCTTCCTCTATTTTTTTTTTTTTTTCTCCCAAGTTCTCTTGAAAAACCTAGATTTGGGTTCTCCATAAGAACTTGATCTGAGTTCTCCTTCAAGGGAAAATAAGATCAAAAAAATTCCTGAAGATCCCATTTACCTTTTCTTCAAAACCTTCAAAGCCCATGCATTTGAAGGGAAAATAGCCGTTGATGTCTGATGAAATTGGTGTGAAGTTATGAATAGTTGCCATTAATTTAATATACAATTATGAATAGATGGGAGTGGTTGATGATAAAACTACCGCAGTTGGAGAAATATAAAAGCATTCAAGTCAGAGGTAGGCATAGTTTTAGCTTAATTAAATTGGTATTGTTGACTCACAGTTCCGCCACAGTTTTGGCCATACCA